TGTGATTACGTTTATCTACCGACAGACACATCTTATCCACTCTTTATTGTGAGCTGAATAGTGTACAGAGCAGAGGCAAAGAGGCGTACAGTCACTTCCTCAAGCATTAAGTCAAACAGGTCAGCATTTCCACGACATGGCAACAACCCACACCGTGTTAACAAAGCCCAGCAAAGGTTAAAGCCAAGCGCGCCCACGGGCCTGGCCTGGCAGCTTTCTGCAGTGTGTTCCCACGAACGGTCAGTAACAATTTGTCCAAGCAAGGCTCCATGGTGGCTTGGTGACAGGTGACTATGCTGCATGCCACACCATCCTGGTAGGTTGGTCCTGGAGAAATGTCGGGACACAAACAGGTCTGACCACTGTGCTTGGAGGAACAGACTCAGCCTCCTTGGGCACCACAAAGGACATTTAGCCTTAACAGAACCGCCATCCTGCCTCAGAGGGATCAAGGTCATCCCGCCAACTTATTTTAACTGAGTTAGGGTAATACATGTCATCGGCTGGGCTGCCATAACAAAATGCCACAGACTAGACAGCTTAAATGACAGATACTCATTTTCTCACCATTCTGGAGCTGACGTCTGAGGTCAGGGTGCTCTTCTTTGGAGGTGCCCTTCTGGTTTCCAAATAGCCCCTTCTCTCTGTGTCTTCCCGTGGGGATTGCTTGCTAGCGTGTCCACTTAGGAGAACACTAAGCCCCACTCTCATGACCTCAGCTGACTCTCCTCTCCAGATACACACCACCAGGGCTCAGGACTTCAACAGAAGAACTCGGGGACACAGTTCTGTCCCTGGAAATGCAGAAGTTTAGCATCCCCAACCCAAAAGTCTGAAATCCAGAACACTCCAAAGTCCAAGACTTTTTGAGCTCCCACATTGACCCTGAAGTGGAAAATCCCACACCTGACCTCCCGTGACAGTGTGAAGTCAGCACACCCAGAATATCATATCAATCTGCCTTTGGGCTGTATGTGTAAGGTGAATATGACACAAATGAATTTCATGTTCAGACTTGGTTCTCTTCCCCAAGATGCCTCATTATGTCCATGCAGATATTCCAAACCACCCCCCAAAAAAATCGAGAATTCAAAACACTTCTAGTTCCAAGCTTTGCCACAGGGTATACTGAGCCTGAGTCTGTGCTAATGTCTTCTTTTCCTGTTTTTTTTTTTTTTTTGTGGTACTGGGGTTTGAACTCAGAGCCTGCACCTTGAGCCACTCCCCCAGGCCTTTTTTTTTTTTTTTTTAGAGAAAGAGCCTTTCTTTTAATGTCTTAAAACACCTTCTTGTATTTCCCTGTGCAGTCTGTTTCTGTTTTGTGCTCATCTTTGGTTACAGGCCTGTGAGATATTGGTTTTACAGGGGTTTTTTGTTTTTTAATTTTTATTTTTTTATTATTCATGTGTGCATACAATGCTTGGGTCATTTCTCCCCCCTGCCCCCACCCCCTCCCTTACCACCCACTCCACCCCCTACCTCTCCCCCCCAACCCCTTGATACCCAGCAGAAACTATTTTGCCCTTATTTCTAATTTTGTTGAAGAGAGAGTATAAGCAATAATAGGAAGGAACAAGGGTTTTTGCTGGTTGAGATAAGGATAGCTATACAGGGAGTTGACTCACATTGATTTCCTGTGCGTGGGTGTTACCTTCTAGGTTAATTCTTTTTGATCTAACCTTTTCTCTAGTTCCTGGTCCCCTTTTCCTATTGGCCTCAGTTGCTTTTAAGGTATCTGCTTTAGTTTCTCTGCATTAAGGGCAACAAATGCTAGCTAGTTTTTTAGGTGTCTTACCTATCCTCACCCCTCCCTTGTGTGCTCTCACTTTTATCATGTGCTCAAAGTCCAATCCCATTGTTGTGTTTGCCCTTGATCTAATGTCCACATATGAGGGAGAACATACGATTTTTGGTCTTTTGGGCCAGGCTAACCTCACTCAGAATGATGTTCTCCAATTCCATCCATTTACCAGCGAATGATAACATTTCGTTCTTCTTCATGGCTGCATAAAATTCCATTGTGTATAGATACCACATTTTCTTGATCCATTCGTCAGTGGTGGGGCATCTTGGCTGTTTCCATAACTTGGCTATTGTGAATAGTGCTGCAGTAAACATGGGTGTGCAGGTGCCTCTGGAGTAACCTGTGTCACAGTCTTTTGGGTATATCCCCAAGAGTGGTATTGCTGGATCAAATGGTAGATCAATGTTTAGCTTTTTAAGTAGCCTCCAAATTTTTTTCCAGAGTGGTTGTACTAGTTTACATTCCCACCAACAGTGTAAGATGTTCCTTTTCCCCACATCCTCGCCAACACCTGTTGTTGGTGGTGTTGCTGATGATGGCTATTCTAACAGGGGTGAGGTGGAATCTTAGTGTGGTTTTAATTTGCATTTCCTTTATTGCTAGAGATGGTGAGCATTTTTTCATGTGTTTTTTGGCCATTTGAATTTCTTCTTTTGGGAAAGTTCTGTTTAGTTCACTTGCCCATTTCTTTATTGGTTCATTAGTTTTGGGAGAATTTAGTTTTTTAAGTTCCCTATATATTCTGGTTATCAGTCCTTTGTCTGATGTATAGTTGGCCAATATTTTCTCCCACTCTGTGGGTGTTCTCTTCAGTTTAGAGACCATTTCTTTTGATGAACAGAAGCTTTTTAGTTTTATGAGGTCCCATTTATCTATGCTATCTCTTAGTTGCTGTGCTGCCCCCAGCCCTTTTTTTGTGATGGGATTTTTGAGATAGGGTCTTGTGAACTATTTGCCCAGGCTGTCTTCAAACCTCGATCCTCCTGATCTCTGCCTCCTGAATAGTTAGGATTATAGGCGTGAGCACCGGTGCCCGGCTATGCTAATATTTTATGTGATGGGTGATGAGGTTCAATATCTTATTCTATTTAGATCTTCGTGGTTGTCTGGCACTGTGTAATAAGTCAGCCCAGAACTCTGCAGCTTCCAACACTGACTGTTATTTGCCCATGGTGTAGGCTGGCTTCATTCTGTGGCTTGTCCCTGCTCCATGATGTCTGGGCTGTCTCTGGAGATGGCTCTAGTCACAGGAGCCTGATAGGACCATGTCTGGGCCTTGGTGATCTGGGGCTCTGAACCAGTGTGCATGGCAGCTGGGTGCAATGAGGAAGGAGGCATGAACCTTCCCATCCTCTTAGGGCCTGAGCTAGGAAATCAGATATCTCCCCTCCTACGTCCTGTGGGATGGCCCCTGGGCTAGGGAAGGGGGGTGGGTGGGAGAGAGAAGATCAACCATCCTTGCATCTGCCCTCTGCTTGTCCATGCTTTCCTTGTATTTGTGTTTCCTCATCCTCGTCTTGGTCCTGCCCCTTTGTTCTGAGCCACAGGTGTCCACAGGTGCCCTCTGGAGGGCCTCGGTCTGTGCTGGAGGTGGGGCATCCTCCCCATCCTGAGTCAGGACTGCCTTAATGCTTTCTAAATTCAGCCTCACCAGGTTCTCCTGAGGACTGGATGGCATAGTGCATGTAGCACTGTGTCCCGGGCTGGGATGTCAAGTGGCTGGCTGCTGTCACCACTGTGGTGGAAGCTGGCATCTCCTCCAGCCCAGCTTGTTCTCAGGCATGAACTCTTGGCTTCTCTGCATCTCAGTTTTCCCCACCTCATAAATGGGATGGCGATGATTCCGCTGGAATTTCAGGTTTGCTATGGTAATCAGAGTACCTGGTGCCTTGTGACTGTCAGGTGGTGATATTTCTTCATTGTATGGACAAGTTGTGTGACTCATGGTCTTCCCAGAAATGGCTGTGGCTCCAGGAGCCTGAGAAGAGGCCTGGAAGGGCTGCACTTCACTCCCTCTCTCAAGGGCTCCTTGCAGGCTGCTGCCCCTTGTCAGGGACATGCTGCGGACAGATGACTGACAAGGTGGCCTCCAGGATTTGTCATCTGACAGTGTCTTCTCTATGGCTTTCAGACTTTCTCATCACTTCCCAGAAACACCTGGGGGAGGGTCTGGCCACTCCAGTGCCCAGCCTGGCTTCTGCTTCCTGGACAGGGTCCCACCAGGACTGAGGGCTCTGAGGGGGGCCAGAGGTCTTTGCTGGCAAGGGGTGCCCACCCTTGAGAATTAAGGTGGGGGTCGGAATCACAGGCAGAGAGCCCTGTGAGGGGGATGGGTGGGGGAAGATCCACGGTGCTACAGGGGTCACTGAGTCTGAGCTGTGGCCAGAAGCATGCCAGCTTTGCAGTGTTTCTCACCTCTGAAGTGGGGCCTGGGAGGCAGGTGAAGGCCATCTGGCTTGGAGTGCCACTGTTAGGGAGCCACTGTCAGGGTGGCTGTCCTGAGGACTCTGGTGGCCAGGCCCTGTACATCTGTGCCCTGTGATGCTGTACCTGATGTTGTGGTGGACTTTGTAGTCCCTGTCTTCACAATTTGCTTCCTTGTCCTGGCCAAGAAGAGCACTGTGGTGGAACTGGTGGAGGGTGTCATCTTGTGGACCTTTTTAAAGCAGTGTTTACTGAGTGTCCCTGTATTGGGCATGTGTGAATGGATAGGATATGACTGAGAGAAAGCAGGCCTGCTGGGTGGGGCCGTTCCTGGCAGCACCAGTGTGGGCTTGCTGGACACTGCAGGGTTTGACCTGGGTGGGGGACAACTGGAGGATTCCTGTTGGGCAGAGGGAAGGTTGGGTTAGGCTGGGAAGTCTCGGTGGCTGTGATGGGACGTGCAGGTAAAGCTAGGGCTGTGGCCTCATGTGACTGGAGCAAAACACGTGAACCCAGAGTCCTGGGTGGTGAGGAACTGGGTCATGGTGGTCATGGGCCACCCTGTGGTTTTGAGACAGTGAGGTCACAAGCAAGAGCAGGTGGAAGTCGTGATTTAGGAAGTGGGTGTGGGGGTAGCAGTGTGGGAGGATGAGCTGGGAGTGCAGGGGGTCAGGTGGGGAGTGGGGAGCAAGGATTCCCAGGCTGACCTCTCCTTTGCTAACCTGATCCCGGGGCAGGCATTCAGTGACTCCCATTGTCCTGTGTCCTGCAGATGGCATCCACAGTGTCACGGCTCTCTGCACCCTGCGTGTCATCATCATCACAGATGACATGCTGACAAATAGCATCACCGTCCGCCTGGAGAACATGTCCCAGGAGAAGTTCCTCTCCCCACTGCTGTCCCTCTTCGTGGAAGGGGTGGCCACAGTGCTGTCCACCACCAAGGATGACATCTTCGTCTTCAACATCCAGAACGACACCGACGTCAGGTCCAATATCCTGAATGTGACCTTCTCAGCGTTGCTCCCCGGTGGCGCTCGGGGCAGGTTCTTCCCATCCGAGGACCTGCAGGAGCAGATCTACCTGAACCGGACGCTGCTGACCACCATCTCCGCCCAGCGCGTGCTGCCCTTCGACGACAACATCTGCCTGCGGGAGCCCTGCGAGAACTACATGAAGTGCGTGTCCGTGCTCAGGTTCGACAGCTCGGCCCCCTTCATCAGCTCCACCACGGTGCTCTTCCGGCCCATCCACCCCATCACCGGCCTGCGCTGCCGCTGCCCGCCCGGCTTCACCGGGGACTACTGCGAGACCGAGATCGACCTCTGCTACTCCAGCCCGTGTGGCACCAACGGCCGCTGCCGGAGCCGAGAGGGCGGCTACACCTGCGAGTGCTTCGAGGACTTCACCGGTAGGTGTCCAGGGCCTGAGGGGTGGGCTTGGGCTGCAGGTCGCCGGGGCTCACCAACATTTTACACAAATATCCCTGATTCGTACGTGGGAGGGTGTCCTGCAAATTCCTCTGTCCACTTCGTTCTTGGAAGATGAGGTCAGGGTAGAGGTGCTGGGCCCCGGTGTTGGCAAGGTGCACATCGAGGTGGCCTCGGAAGTGCAGTTTCCTTAGCCAGCAGGCATGCCTGTCTCAGTCCCATTCATCGTCCCTGTGAGACTGAGGACAGTAGGGGAAGACCTCAGTGTGAGGTCCACTTAAGATAGCCAAATGTATGACAGAGACTTTATGTTGTTTCTAAGTGGTTTTAACGTTAAAGTGCTTTATTCCAGATTTCAGGTTTAATTGGTTTGAGCAGATCAGTGCAACTGGGGTAGAAGTCCTAAGCGTTAATCCCTGGGTCCTAAAAGAAGTTGCCTGTGGTTTTCATGCCTCATTATCACTGTACAAAATGACTCATCTTCCCGCTTCTGGAATAGTCTCACCTTGACATGTTCTGACTATTGCAGAAGATCAATTGCTCCAAAGACACCCAACAATCAAGTCTTTTTAACAATCAAAAGCAGCCCAGGAGTGGTATAGAAGCTTGTCCTCTGTTCTCCACCACAAAGCTTGCTCTGGTCTTTGATCGCCTGTTGCATACAGTGATGGCCCGTTTGAAAAACCAGTTTGTAATAGTCCAGATGGTGAACAGCGTCTTTTTGTAGAGCTCATTGAGGATTAGGTGGGACTTGATTTATACCAGAGATGACTTTGAGATCCTTCCCTCGACTGTGTCCGTGATTAACGAGTTTAGCACAAATGCCTGAGGAATCACTATCCACTAGTGTGGGCGTCTCGGCTAGCATAGCGTCAGTTTATTGAGCTCACCATAAAGGGCTGGAGGTATTAGCAGGTATTTATTGAGCAGGAAGAGAGAATAGGCTTGGTTGGGGAACACAAAGAGAGAGGAAGGGTGGGTGCGTCAGAAGAGGAGGGAAAGCCACCCCAGAGAGGTTGGGCAGCCTTTGAGACAAGGGGCTGCAGGGCTGGCCGTCTACATCCCAACTTGGTTATACTCTAGAAACATGGGGGGAGGGATTGAGGCATCTCGGTTGCCCCTCCCTGTTCTCTGCACCCCTGTCAGCCTATGGCCGGCTGCCAGCAGGATCTGGACAGCTCTTCCGCCTGTCTCGCCGAATGTTGATCCTGGATTCCTGGCTTGCCGGGGCTTGGCAGTGAACAGGAAGGAAGACAGAGGTGCAGGAGACCCCCAACCTGCCAGCCAAACCTGAGGTGATGGCAGCTCTGAGCTTTAGGGAAGTCTGTTCTTTGCCATCTTGCAGACATGGACCATGATACCCCTTTTTCCTTTCCCACTCCACAGTCTCGCACTGGTACCTCTGCCTCTTTTGAGGTGACTGATGGGATGTCGCAGTCAGCCACACAGTCAGGCCCCTCCTCATGGGGAAGTAACCTTGATGAGCCAACACCTGTTCCCACACCCCTCCCAGTCACATGGCCCCCATGGGCTCTGCTGCATCAGGTGGAGAACCAAGTCCACCGTCATGAGAAAGGGATGACATCAGCCAGGATGTCACCAAGTGTATAGTCTTCATTCAGCTCCAAACATCTGCTGAGTGCCTGCTGCTGTCAGGCCAGTGCCCAGTCACACCTCATCCTGCCCATTTCTAGATGATCCAGTTATCTGTGTATTCCACCCTTCCATTGATCAAGGGGACCCCTTCAGCATCCACCTATTAGTAGGGAGGCATCTCACACAGACTTGAGACTGGGCGTCAGCCAGGAGCCACCACAACAGGCCTGCCGGAGACACTCAGGCTGGGGCGGGGTAGGCCGAGGCCACTAGGGTCCATGGGTCCTGCAAAGATGGGTTGACCTGTGGGTGAAGTCACCTGACTTCTGAAGCTCTCAAATTTCATTTTCATCAGAGAGTCATTGCTAGAAGGACAATGACCAGGGACGGGCCACATCTGTCTGTCATCACCAATGAGAACCACTGAGACATGGTGACTGGCAGGAGGCTAATTTGAATCTCTTTGGGTACTGAAAGCGTCATACTTCTTCCCTGAGATAAGACTAATTAAGACTGATTATTTCTCCTGGATCCTCTTCCTCCCCTTGTCCCTTTCCTCGCTTTGAAGCGCTCCTTTTCTGCGCAGAGGTAATTGCACTCATTTATTCATGGTGAAAGCAGAGCTGTCGTCACGCGTCTTTTATTTCTTGCTCCCTGGTAAGGTGAGCTGTGGGCCTCACTGCTGTGGGGTTGGAACTGGCCCAAGTGGCACTGGGAGTCCTTGGCTTCCTGTATCTCAGGACAGGAGCCGGTAGAAGGAAGGCATCAATTGATTTCAGGAAAAGCTTACCAAATTTGATGCTGGAAGAAATACTGACATCTCCCTTGTGTTTCTGTAGCCATCCTGACCTTCGGGCCCAGTGTCTTTGCAAGGGAAAGAGAGCTGTTGGCCCCTCACAGTAGGATCCCTGCAAATACAGCTCTGTGTTGGGACCTTGGCTGGGGTCAGCAACTCTCCCAACTCCAAAAGGAACAGAGACAGAGACCGAAGGCGTGGGCATTGTGGATGTATATTGAATGCTCTCTTAATTTCTCAACCCCAGAAATGTTCCAAAACAACCAAGTGGCAAACTCGCTTGTTTCCTTCCATTCTCAGCCCCTTGGTGTTTGGTTCTGTAAACACTGAGGCTTTTGTTTTTGTTAGATTCCTTAAGGACGTGGTCTTGAACTGCTCAGCTCATCTGGATCCAGACACAGTGTTCTCCTGTCTCCTGGCTTCTTCATCTGCCTCCCTCTGTCTGAAATGTCCCCTCCCATTCTTCTCTCCATCACGTCCCCATCCATTCTCCCCGCCCGGGATGGTTCTGGAAGGTTTCCTACCTTCTCGGATGGTTCCCACTCTTGAAGCTTCCCCAGTGCCTTGTTCATTCATTGCACCTCTCACTCTGCTGGGAATCGCTTGTCCTTGTGGCCCTGTCCCTAGGTCAATAGTGACTTGTTGCTAGTGTTTATTGGCCACTTTGTTATGTTGGCTACTGTTCTAGATGACTCTATATGTATTTTTTAAAAATAATTCTTATGTCTGCTCTATGACCTCATTTTATGAATGGAGAAACTGACATACAGAACCTGAAAGCATTTTGTCTGATGGCGTTTAGCCTCTCTGGGGCCATTGGACAATATCATTGATAACGAAGACATTTTCGGTTGTCACAGCTGAGGATGAGGTGTCAGTGGGAGGAGGCCAGGGATGCTGGCCAGCACCCGACATTGCACAAGACAGCCCCATGACAAAGAGTGGTTTGGCCCAGCATGTCTGTGGTGCCAAGGCTGAGTCCTACTGCCCAAGGCTGTGTGAGGATGGCTTTTGAACCCAGGGTCCTGGCTTCAGAGCAAGCTTGTATGCCTGTGAACTCCTTCAGGGAGAATGACTAGATTTCCCTGGTTACCTGCTCCTTCTCTTGTTTCACTCATTTAACAGCATTTTGTAAAAAGTACCCTCTCTGTGCAGGAGTAAAGGTGAAGTGTGATGGTTGTCAGATGTTGGGGGGTCCTGGCCCTGGGCCTGGTTTCACATGCTGTTCAGCCATCATGATGGATAGGCATCATGGGTTTGGGGGAAGCTGCTCCCTCCCTGCTGGGAACTCGCCCTCATTACCCCAAGGTAAATAAGTGAGCCTCAGGATTGGGTTTGAGTCCTTGTCCTGCTTCTGGTACATCCTCCCCCCAACCAAGTGCTTATCATCACTGAGTCCTTCCTAAAGTGTGACTGAAAGTTATCAAAGGCATGGCTTGCCTGGCTGTGCTCTAAGCCTTTTCCACATGTCTGTGATAACCCACAAGGTGGGACCACTGTCACCCCAGCTTTACCAACACCAGGTGCACAGGTGGGTAGAGCTGGGGTCCGACCCAGGACTTGTTCCTCAGCCTGATGGATCAGCTTCCCGTGCTATCCCAGGGAGGTGTAACTCCTGCCTCCTGTGTCTGCCTGTCCTCCATGTGTTTACCTGGGTGTTCCGCAGGCATCTCCAGCACCAAATCTGCATACACCCTTCACGTCTCCCCTCATTGCAGCACACTTGTGCTGACCCCTCTGCTTAACCTTCTGTCCCCCAGCCCATTTTCCTCTCTCCACACCCTCCTCACTGCTCTCCCTGCAACCTTCTTCCTGCCATCCTTGTGGCACCTAGAATGTCCTATTACACTGTGCACTGGGTCCCTTCCAGGTTATGCACGGCCTTCCCAGGGTACCTGGTGCTCTTGTGTAAAGTCCAGTTGTCCATTTCAGAGGCTGTGGTGCTAAAGGTCCAATCTCATTCTGGTCTGAATGTCCCTTGCTCTCCACACTCAGGTTGCGCTGGCTTCTCTCACCTCAGGCCCTTGCGCCTTGAGTGTGCTTTTGCCCAGGTCTTCCCTGAATGTCCCTCTGTCCCCATTCTTCTCCCTTTGACATTGGTGGCCTCTCTCCCCTCTGTACTGGATGCTCCATGAGGGTAAACACCAGAGTCTTTCATCTGCCTCCATGTGTGCATAGCCAGCATGGCGTGAGCACCTGGTAGGTACTATGTTCAGAGGAGACTGGGTAAGGGAGAGCTACCCATTTCCCATGCCGCCGGAAGATATGTCATTGGGTCTACCATTTGTCCTGTATTTTGGTCAGAGTGATACCTTGACTACTTGTGATTCTGAGCTGGAAGGAGCAGGACCCCTGCCTGTGTCCCAGGTGCCTTTCTTCTTGAGTGTGGTCGGCCAGGCTCCAGGCCTGAGCTGCAATGCTGAGCTCCAGGCTCTCTGGCGTCCCTGCGGAGGCTTTCCCTTATCTCCTCTCTCCCAGAGAGACCTGGGAGCAGGTGATTTATCATCACAGACTAGCGTCTCCCCTTAGGTACATTCCTGAGTGAGCGGCAGCTCTGATATCACAAGGAGGGTGGGGTTCCCACAAGCC